CACAGTGCTCACCATAGCACATACCCTCCCCAATGTCTATCACCCAGCCACCCCATCCCTCCCACCCCCCACCACTCCAGCAACCCTCAGTTTGTTTCCTGAGGTTGAAAATTCCTCATATCAGTGAGGTCATATGATACATGTCTTTCTCTGATTGACTTATTTCACTCAGCATAACACCCTCCAGTTCCATCCATGTCGTTGCAAATGGCAAGATCTCATTCCTTTTGATGGCTGCATAATATTCCATTGTGTGTATATACCACTTCTTCTTTACCCATTCATCTGTCGATGGACATCTTGGCTCTTTCCACAGTTTGGCTATTGTGGACATTGCTGCTATAAACATTGGGGTGCATGTACCCCTTCAGATCCCTACATTTGTATCTTTGGGGTAAATACCCAGTAGTGCAATTGCTGGATCGTATGGTAGCTCTATTTTCAACTGTTTGAGGAACCTCCATACTGTTTTCCAGAGTGGTTGCACCAGCTTGCATTCCCACCAACAGTGTAGGAGGGTTCCCCTTTCTCCACATCCCCGCCAACATCTGTCGTTTCCTGACTTGTTAATTCTAGCCATTCTGACAGGTGTGAGGTGGTATCTCATTGAGGTTTTGATTTGGATTTCCCTGATGCCGAGCGATGTTGAGCACTTATTCACATGTCTTTTGGCCCTTTGGATGTCTTCTTTGGAAAAATGTCTGTTCATGTCTTCTGCCCATTTCTTGATTGGATTATTTGTTCTTTGGGTGTTGAGTTTGATAAGTTCTTTATAGATTTTGGATACTAGCCCTTTATGTGATATGTCATTTGCAAATATTTTCTCCCATTCTGTTGGTTGTCTTTTGGTTTTGTGGACTGTTTCTTTTGCTGTGCAAAAGCTTTTTATCTTGATGAAATCCCAATAGTTCATTTTTGCCCTTGCTTCCCTTGCCTTTGGCGATGTTTCTAGGAAGAAGTTGCTGCGGCTGAGGTCGAAGAGGTTGCTACCTGTGTTCTCCTTTAGGATTTTGATGGACTCCTGTCTCATGTTTAGGTCTTTCAACCATTTGGAGTCTATTTTTGTGTGTGGTGTAAGGAAATGGTCCAGTGTCATTCTTCTGCATGTGGCTGTCCAATTTTCCCAACACCATTTGTGGAAGAGACTGTCTTTTTTCCATTGGACATTCTTTCCTGCTTTGTCAAAGATTAGTTGACCATAGAGTTGAGGGTCCATTTCTGGGCTCTCGATTCTGTTCCATTGATCTATGTGTCTGTGTTTGTGCCAGTACCATACTGTCTTGATGATGACAGCTTTGTAATAGAGCTGGAAGTCCGGAATTGTGATGCCGCCAGCTTTCCTTTTCTTTTTCAGTATTCCTCTGGCTATTCGCGGTCTCTTCTGGTTCCATACAAATTTTAGGATTATTGTTCCATTTCTTTGAAAAAAGTGGATGGTATTTTGATGGGGATTGCATTGAATGTGTAGATTGCTCTAGGTAGCATTGACATCTTCACAATGTTTGTTCTTCCAATCCATGAGCATGGAACGTTTTTCCATTTCTTTGTGTCTTCTTCAATTTCTTTCATGAGTATTTTATAGTTTTCTGAGTACAGATCCTTTGCCTCTTCTGTTAAATTTATTCCTAGGTATCTTATGGTTTTGGGTGCAATTATAAATGGGATAGACTCCTTGATTTGTCTCTCTTCTGTCTTGTTGTTGGTGTATAGGAATACCACTGATTTCTGTGCATTGATTTTATATCCTGCTACTTTACTGAATTCCTGTGTGAGTTCTAGCAGTTTTGGGGTGGAGTCTTTTGGGTTTTCCACATACAGTATCATATCATCTACAAAGAGTGAGAGTTTGACTTCCTCTTTGCCTATTTGGATGCCTTTGATTTCTTTTTGTTGTCTGATTGCTGTGGCTAGGACTTCTAATACTATGTTGAATGAGAGTGGTGAGAGTGGACATCCCTGCCATGTTCCTGACCTTAGGGGAGGCTGAAGGAATTCTAAAGCTCTATTTCCAGACATGTTCCATGGTTCCTCTCACTCACCCCCTCACAGGGAGGAGTATCTGGAAAAGCTTTCACTGCAGTCTGTGGCCTTGATTCTCAAGACCAACGAGAAACAGGGCCAATTTAAAGGAACTCCATAATTGCCCTCATAACTGATTTGGACAGAACAGACACACTTAAATAAATGCTAGAGTATCTTATTTCTCCACAAAGAACCCCATCTCTACTATTTAAGCCAATATTTATGTGAAGATTTTTCCATTTTTCTTTGCTCTCTAGACATATTGGTTCAGATCTCATGGCTGAAGTTCACACAGGAGATTCACTGTATTATTCTTTTTTTTTAATATAAAACAACAGAAAACCTAGTTCCAAGTTAACGTTTCCAATATCAGCTTCTTTTTTAAAATTAATAGCTAAAAAAAAATTAAATTAAATTAATAACTACATAATCAAATTAAAATGTCATTTTTAAGGGATGCCTGGATGGCTCAGACGGTTGAGCATCCAACTAATGATTTCCACTGGGGTCCTGATCTTGGGGTCATGGGATGGAGCCCGGTGTTAGGCTCCATGCTTGATGTGGAGTCTGCTTGAGATTCCACTTGATATTTCCTCGGCCCTTCCTCCATCACATGCTCTCTCTCTCTCAAATAAATAGTATCTTTTTTTAAATGTCATTTTTAAGAAGAAAAAAAAAGAATAGTATAAAGTTCTTCTGACCTTAAATAATTGTGTTCACTACTTAATAAGTATTTGGATTTGAAACTTTTCCTCACCTGTCATGTATGATAGTTGCTCTATTTTACCCTGGCATCATACTCCCTACTCAGTTTCCTCACCCTTCTTCAAGGGGCAAGGGCAGATTCTCAGTAGAAAAGACTCCTTGACTTTGCCCTATATTCTCCACCCCTCTAGAAGGGGGCCATGTTGGAAGTATCAGTACTGAAAGCACTAATTTGAAACAACAAGAATAAACAGATGTTTAAGAAGCATAATTTAGAAGCCATGACTCCTCACACTACTTCTGATTCCCTGTTTCAAAGTAAGCAGTCCTGAAAGCTTGATAAAATACACAAAGAATCCACCAGCTACAGCAAAGAATCAGAATCTCACGTATTGGCTCTCATCAAGCCCTCACATAACCTTTAAGAGCCTTATTCTTGACATCTCATTTATTGAGCACTGTGAGCAGAATCTTCTGTTAAAATCATCTATGCGATGAGAAGCATGGAAATGCTTTGCAAACTTCCTCTCTCCTTCTCTGAGGTTCACAAAACAAAATGACGTATCCATCTTGGTACCACCCTTGTATCTTGTCTTCAAGGAACCTACAGGAATATTTCCTATTTTCCTCTGTGGTTCTGCAGAGTTCCCATCTCTTAAAGCTTTGGTGTCCAAGTCCTGCAAGTGGTTGCTTGAAAGACCTAATCATTTCATTTCTACCTAAGAACTAAAAATGGCTTAGCTAGTTATAAACACAAACGTGCTGAAACAATGGCTGGATTAAATAACTCCTTTAGGGCACCTGGGTGGCTCAGATGGTTAAGCGTCTGCCTTCGGCTCAGGTCTTGATCTCTGCATCCTGGGATGGAGTCCCATGTTGGGCTTCCAGCTCAGTGGGGAGTCTGCTTCTCCCTTTCCTTCTGCCTCTCCCCACTGCTTGTGCTCTCTCTCTCGAATAAATAAAATCTTTTTTAAAAAATAAATAAATAACCTCTTTAATTGAATATCATGCTACATTTCAATATACTTTTTTAAAAAGCTGTTTTCTTTTATTTGGACTTGGAAGTCTGTTGTAAAAAATATATATAATCTTGAGAAGAAAATTAACTGCACAACTGGCCAGGATATGATTATAAAATAGGTGGAGTAACATTTGTTTAGAGAAAAGGCATTCTATAGTTAAAAAAGAGAACAAATACCTCATTTGTCTCATTTGATTTTCTTTCCAAAGGTCTAACTAAGATTTTCTAGGGGACATAGCTTTTTTGTTTGTTGGTTGGTTTGGGGTTTTTCTTTCTGCAACAGAATAATAGGTAGTCCACAAACTTAATATTCATGTATACAGTTTATTATAAAGGAAACTTTAAGCATTGTCATCACCATTTTGTGAATTGGAAAACCTTGCCACATACAATTTAGATCCTATGACCTGTCATTAGCCAAAATGTTTAATAGTAAAGCGACTTCTTCCCCAGGGCAACACCCATTCCACTCAGTTCTCCATACTGCCCTCTCCTGGTGGATTTTCTGCAAAGCTCACATCTCACGCAGCTGAGTCCCAAATCCTAGACAATTAAAGCAGCGGACAGACACACATGAACTTCTGTTCACCTCTGAACCAAAAATGAAAAAGAAAAGGAATGGAAAAGGGAAAAAAAGAGAAGAAACCATTTGGATATGTCTAGATTTGGCAATTCAAATGAATTAGAATCATTCTTCATCTACCCCCCTACCACTTAGTTCCTTAGTTCCTTTTTCTCTTCTTTCTTTTTGTTCTTTGTTCAAGAAATAAACTCAAAATAGCTAATCACAATAGCTATGACTAAATGGTTAGGAAGAAGGAGCCCAAGTTTGAAGTTGTTTTGTTTTTAACAGAATGAAAAAAAAAATCCTAAACCCAAACCCTGTAATTCAACCCAACTTGTCACTACCCTCTGATTAAAGCATTTTTTTAAAAATAACAGATAGGAAGCTGAGATCTGCATTGAGATAAAGATGGTTAGCATAGATCAAAAGGAATTGTACATATGTCAGATTAAGTGACAGGATGTGGGGAAGTGGTAGGTCCCATATCCAGTTACTTTATGCACGAGTACATTTGCTGAATGCAGGTACTCTAACAGGCTAGTTGCACATAGACCGAAACCAGGGAAATTAATGGAAAGCAATCTATAATGGTTAGGGTGTTTGTTCTGATATGGATCCAAGACCACATATCTCCTAATTAGTAATATTACTGTAATTTTTTATAACTGTCTATCTTGCCCTGCCCAGGACAATAAATTGTCTTTGAATCTTTCATCTGGCATTTCTGAGGGGGTCAGCGTTATGTTGTAAGTACTCTATATCCCACATACATAAACTTAGTAATTAGATATAGACAAGTTTCCCAGCCAATTAGAAGAAGAAATATTTAAAATCTTCTCTCTCACCAAAAAAAAAAATTCCATCTAAGGCATTTTGGGAGACAAAAGGGGCAAATGATATAGAATGTCAGTATCAGTGGAGCCCAGAAAAGAATACTTAGCTGGTTTTGAGGTGAAGTGGGATTGGGGAGAGGAGAGGATAAGGAACAAGAATAGTTTACTTGCTAAGTAAAATGGAAAAATCATACAAGGGTTATTTTCCAGGAAGGGTGAGTTACAACAGAACAGTATTTCTTAAGACCACAATTAATGCCACGTATTTCTTTGGGATCCCATTCATATATTACCATTCATAATGAAGGTGATCTTGGCTAATCAAGGCCAGACTATAAGTCAGAGAAATTAAAAACCCATGTTAGGGAAATTCTATGGGGCTTAATACAGGGATTGCTTCCTTACTTAATGTAGTCACTAAGATCTAAAATTCTAGAGCTGGAAAGACCTTCCCATTTACCTTTAATCCCAGACCTGACTAACCCATTTTAGTAATAATCAAATCAAATCACCCTTTAGCTAAAACAATTGCATACCCTTAATAATCCAACAGGCTAGGACTAGGAGGAGGGGAATGAGGCACTTGCCTTCAGGCACAAACTTAAAGGGGGCCAGGGGAGGGGGTTCCAAAGCCTTAGGAATCAAGATAAATAATATTTCAACTTCGCCTACCCAAATGCCTTCTCTGTTGAATCCTGTCTTTATTTAAAATTTTGTTATATTGCTCATCATGGATTTTTTGCATTGATTTTGGTTTTTTTATATTATTTATCTTGATAATTGAGGTTTTTGGCACTTAAATTTTGCACCTTAAAGCAAATACTTCACTCACCTCACACTAGTCCTGGACCTGTAAACCCATTTCACTATTTATATAATTTCAGAATCAGAAATTTTTTCCTTACGTCTAACTCAGGGTTTCCCAAGCTTGACGCTATTAGACATTTTGGGGCCAGATAATTCTTTGTTGTGGGGGTTGTCCTATAAATTATAGGATGTTTAGCAGCATCCCTGGCTTCTACCTACTAGATGCCAGTAACACCCTCCCTCTCCCTTCCACCAAAAATGTCTCCAAATTAATCCTGGTTTAGAACCATTAATCTTCCCAAAGTCTCTTATGCTACAAACCACCCCGTTTCTTCCTGTTGTGTCCTCAGTAGAGATAGAAAGCAGCTTTTCATCATCTTCCAAATAACCCCATGAGATTCTTTGCTTTGTAGAGTGTGTGTTTACTTATAATCTGATTAGAGTGATGATAATTATGTTAGTATGTCTAGACTTACCAAGGTCAAAGCCCTGGCCTCTGTAAGGTTTATTCCTGTCTAATATCTGACATCTCAGTAGACCACTTGGCCATCCAAAGCAGTAGCTTCTTCCAGAAGTTCCAAGATGCCTTGTAATTATAACCCATTTGTCAAACTGCAAACACAACTCCCTCATTGAATTAGGCCAGAGAGATTAGTTACACCCAACCACATTTCATTCTCTTCAAAGTGAATTTCATCTTGGAATTTATCAATAATCTTTATGTAAACTATCATATCCTCTTCCATCTCAGAAACTAAGACTCTAATGAGTTAGATTATATCAAATAATTCAGCAATTCAACTTCCTCTGTGATCTTAGTGTTGTAAGTACTCCAGTTTTGGGAAGCCATTTTTCCTATAACGATCAAGAAAGATATTTAGTATTTTTTCTTATTATTATTCAAAAGCAAAATTCATCACAAAATGTTTAAAGCTCACAGTTAGGCCTGGAAATCAAATTACACTTGGAAGGTAAAAATCCATTTCTGGATTCTAGTTTAGTAGCGACATACCAAAAAGTCTCATATTTATCCATGCAAACTGCAATATGAATCATAAATAGGTAGTCAGATAAATGACCTAGAAATTCTTCCCAATGATACACAATCTGCCACCTTCATCCTCCACTCAGTTGAACTTTCATGAAATTCTGGATCCATATTTGTTTTGTTTTTTTTTTCCCAGATAGGAATGGTGTATGTGGCAGTCAACCTATATTCAAGATAATGGGTTTGGATATTATACCAGACAGGGGTCTTGGCTACAAACAACAGAAACTAACTCTGGTTGATTAAGCAGCGGGGGAAAAGAATATATATATATATATATATATACACTTTTTTTTTTTTTGCTGAGTTATTAAATAGTTCAAGGAGTTTCCAACATGACTGGAACCAGGCTAGAAAAGAAGACCAGACAAGGGAGGAAGGCAGCAAGTGGACCCCAGCCAAGAGCATACCACCCTACCCATCTAGGGAGGAAACCACCACTACTGCCCCTACCACTAAACAATGAATGCTGCAGGTTACCAGGCAGCCACAGACAGTGGACTTTGAATGGTGCTCCTTCTGCTACCACCACCTCATTGCCTCTGAATTCTTCACTGTCTCTGCCTCTTTATGTTACCAGCTCCCAGTTCAAAGTCACTAGTAGGTGCATCTGTTTAGTCAAGCCTGGGTCAGGTGCCTACATTCTAGCTACAATCGAAGCTGGGACAATGGCTGGACTTCTCAGCTTCTAAAGTGGGAGGCAAAAAAATAAATAAATAAATAAATAAATAAATAAATAAAGTGGGAGGCAGGCAGCCAAGAAAATGAGAGCTGTCCATTACAGGTATGATAAAGAGAGGTAACTAATAATAACAGATTAAATCTTGGGCTCTGGAGTCAGACTATCTGAATTTGAATTTATGCCTATTACTAGCTATGTGATCTTGAGCAAATTACTTAAATCCTTAATCATTTCTATTTCCTCACCTTTACAACAGACCCTTTATGAGGATTAAATAAAAACATTCATGTAAAATTGCCTAGCACAGTATATGGTACATAGTAAGTACTTCTATATATTTATATTTGGGTATCTGTACACACACACACACACATACATATACATATATGAATATGTATGTATGCCAGCATGCAACATTGTTAACAGAGATAGAGCTTCTCTACCCCTATTCTCTTCCTCCTTTTATTAACACCTACCAAATACTGAGACAGTACTTGTGTATCTCAGACTTTTCATTTAATTTAATTCAGGACAAGGCAACGAAACTTAACTTTGGTCTCCCCCACCCCTCCACTTAAAGCATACATGATCCAGCAGAGCAAAACCAATAAAGAAATCATCATAATCCAACATATGCTAGAGTAGCATAAAAATGGAAATTCAAAGGATGGGATTAATTTTGTATGGGGATCTAGAAAATAATTGTAGAAGGAACTTGACATGGAACATGAAGAACAGATAATGAACTTCTTTAGAGAGTGAAGAGAAGACTTCTGCCAGGGAGTGAGAACACTGTCAGCACAGCTGTGTAACTTCAGGGTCTGCCTGGGAATGGGGAAGGACAAGAGCAAGGGATTGATGGGAGGGTGGAAAAAGATGACCTGAGAAAGACAGACTGGGGCCATATTGTCAAAACCACACCAGGCCTGATGAAAGGCCCTGGCAACGTGTCACATCATTGGGATCAATATCTTAGGGGATTATTTAGTCCTGGTAAGATTTTTGTTCACTATGCAGTTCAACCCCAGGGATTAAGGCTGGTTTAAGTAAAACAATAGAATAGGCAGAGTTTGTCCCAGACCTTCCTTTTGTTGAGTCTCCCTTTCCCTCCCAATCTCTATCCCAGGTCCCCAGGGCCATTTGGAAAGCCTCTACCTGTACATTACAACCTATTTGATGCTGCTAGAGGTTTCAGGCCTTCATAGTCCTCCCAGCTCCACACCCTGCCATTCTTCTTCCTTCTCCACACCTGTCAGAGCCCCAATTTTTGTTTAACTGACAAGACTGAGAGTGTGCTAAACAGGTAAGGAAGTTTCAACTGTAGTCCTGGTCCACAGCTCTTCCTCATAACACATGCCCTAATAATTGCAGTGGACTTCCCAGAAATAATATGAGCAGTTCTCCAACCTCAATTTCTGTTAGCTCCTAGACCTACCTTTTCCCCAATCTCTTCACCCCCACCCCCAGGCACAGGTCGAGCATGTGTTCTAATAAGGACAGAAGAGCTTTTTTTATAGCCCACAAAATAAGAAAGCTCAAAACAGGATTGCTCTAGAAAGTCTGATGTGAGTGATTGCTTCCTCATTTCTTCTCAGGAAATAGAAGTGGCTCTGCACTAAGGACTAAATCTGCTCTCCCCTCTGGACATAAAGTTTGGGCTCAACTTCTCCAGGGATCTGAGCCAGTGGCGCCAGCATTCATGTGACTGGAAACGGAAGGGTTTGGCCTCTTGCTGTGGCGGGGTTTAGCATACTGGTTGCAGAGCTTAGTGCATTTCTTTTAGATTTTGTTTCAACTGCCAAGAGCCCAGGGACTCAAGCCTTGTGAGATGCTCAGGGAATGTCAGGGAATTGAGAAGGGACCCAGGGAATTGGTGTTCACCAAGCTATTGCTGGTGTGTGTGGGGTGGAGAGTGAGGAGGCCTAGAGATGCGGCCCACCCTGAAGAGCTGTGGCTGAGAGGGCTTCATGCTGCAGGGCTAGCTTCTTTAGTAATCTACTCTGGTAAGACACAAGGGATGGATAAAAATGAGCGGTTATACTGGAGACAGATCTGTTCCTTCAGTGGCAATATATTTTCCTCACATGCTTTTCTCTTCACAGCAAGCGAATGCATGTGGAGCCAGTGACTATGAAATCAGTCTCATTAAATTTACTCAGTTTTCTTCAAGTCTTAAAGCATGAAGCATTACAAACCTTCATATGTACACTAGGGAAAGAAAGGAAGAAAAAAAAGAACTCCAGGGCAAGACCTAAGGAAAAGCCTGTGGAAAGAACACAGCAAGGTAAAGCAACACAATTTCAAATCTTAATCTCCTGAAATGGTGCCTTTAAAGCTGCACTTTCCACATTTCTGAGTGGGACCCATCAAAACTCCATGTCAAATCATGTTATAACCCTGCTTCTTACCTGTTTGTGATAGCTTTCAAGGGCCAGTAATTCCCCCATATGTGGCAGAAAAGTTCATAGTAGAGATTTGCGCACTTGACTAAGCTTCCTGCATTGCTTTTTGTGGAGTGCTGGTGAAGGAGAGAGATTTGTTCTCCCTTTCAGAACTAAACCAGGCAACTGCCAGCGACACAGTCTAGGAGCAAACCAGAATCACTCACTTGGTCAGATAATCTACAGAACGATGACTTAATATTATATACTCTCCACTTTTGTCCAATAAAACACATAGCCAGGTAGAATTCCCTGCCTTTTTTCAAGTACAAATTAACAGACAAGACCCCATCTATGAGGGAAGAGTTTTTTGGTGCCCTCTCCCCCAGACACCCTCCTTTGGCACCCCGTCCCATCACCAGAGGCGGCCTGGAGTTCTGGCTGCTGGCTGGCTGCTGGGGTGATGATAGTGCCAGGGGCTCAGGAAAAGAGAGTTGTGAAAACAATACAGCTGTGGAGAGAGGGTGTCATCTGCCTTGGGAAGGGTAGGGGACAACTCACTCTGTCTCCTCCTCTATCTGTCTGGTGGCACTGACTGACCTGAGGCTTAAACAGAAAGAGGCAGGTATGACCAGCTCTGAATGGCATCCTCAGGCCCAGGGGTCACAATCACAGGTATCAGCCAGGGCCAGGCAGGTAGTGCCAGTGAGTGAAATGGGCCAGGTATAGGCAATAAAGATGTTTGGGAGCTAAGAAAAGAAAAAAAGACATAATCTATGTTGTTTATTTGTTTTGTTTTTTGGTTTTTGGTTGTTTTTTTTAATAAAGACAGCTTTTTTTTTAAGATTTTATTTATTTATTTGACAGAGAGAGACACAGCGAGAGAAGAAACACAAGCAGGGTGAGTGGGAGAGGGAGAAGCAGGCTTCCCACAGAGCAGGGAGCCCCATGCAGGGCTCGATCCCAGGACCCTGGGATCATGACCTTAGCCGAAGGCAGATGCTTAAGGACTGCGCCACCCAGGTGCCCCAACAGCTTTGTTTTTTTAAATAGACAACATTCTGAAACAAAAACAAAATTAGTTCCTCTTGGCAAACTAATATACTTTCTTTTATTAGGCATCACATTGTTCCCTTTTTCCCTTGACTGTCAAGAAGCTCAAAGCTATATGTTGTGCTTCCCTTTGATTTTTTTAAGGTTTTTTTTTTTTTTAAATAAGCTCTACACCCAACTTGGGGCTTGAATTCATGACCCTGAGATCAAGAGTCACGTGCTCTACCGAGCCAGCCAGGGGCCTCCCTTTGATTTTTTTTGACACAGTGATCTCCCTCTCCTTCCCATCCCTTCCCTCTCCACACACACACACACACACACACACACACACACACACACACACACACCTGGTGACCTATAAAGATATAGATATCGTAAGTATAATGCTGATTAAATATTTCATAGTTCTTAATTTCTTAATATTAAGTATTAATATGTGCCATGGTCCGATTTTTATTTTTCTTCTAAAACCTTCTATTATGGGGGTGCCTGGGTGGCTCAGTCGTTAAGTGCCTGCCTTCGGCTCAGGTCATGATCCCAGGGTCCTAGGATTGAGCCCCGCATCTGGCTCCCTGCTCAGCAGGAAGCCTGCTTCTCCCTCTCCCACTGCCCTGCTTGTATTCCCTCTCTCGCTGTCTCTCTCTGTCAAATAAATATATAAAATCTTTAAAAAAAATAAAACCTTCCATTATGTATTTCATCTAAAACTTTCTATTGAATGGCTGAACTCAGTAGAAAGAACCATTATATAAATTCTGAATTCTGGCTCTATCAATGAACTCTAAAGGCATCCTAATTCTGAAACATCTTGTTATTCTCATTTTAAAGACTTAAAGTATTTCCCTTTGGAAGTTTTTTGGTTTTGTTTTTCCTTTTCTTTCTCTCTTTTTCTTTTTTCACTTACTACCATCTCTGTCTGCAAGCCAAGGTTATGAAAAGAGATGATATACTTTAGGAAGGGGCCACAGATCCAAAATTAATCTCTACCAAAGTTAATTCCTGCATAAATTAAGCTGAATATGTTTTCCAATGCCATAAATCAAGTGTAATAGGTATAAATAAAACATGAACTCAGGTTTCCTTGTTTATAACCTCACATCTATGACACCTCGGTGTGGAAAAGGGCAAAGTTGTTTTTGTTTTTTCTTCTCTTTTAGAGATGTTGGGTTAGTAGATATTGTAAAATCAAATAGATTTCCTCTCTATGGCTGAAAAAGCTAATAATCAGAAGCCCACAGAAAAATTCCTTCTGCATACTTATGCAAAACATCATGACTCTCCTCCTGGGACCAACAAACCAGTAGAATTGCCAGGGAAGATTTGAGAATGGGGTGGAGAGGAACCAACAGCTCTGGGGATTAGGAAGTTTGTTTGGGGCATGAAGCCATGGCCAGTTCTTGGTGTTGGTTATTCTATGGCTACAATTTAGTTCTTGGAGAATCCATGAGGAGTGATAAAAATAAGATGTCAGAATGATCCAGTTGAGAACTAACGAATAGCAGGCATTGGGGTGTGCCTCATCCCTTTTACTTAGCCAGTACACCTACCCCTCAGCTGTGTGAATGTCCACTGCTGACAGCCTTGGCTAGGAAATTATGCCCCATCGACCCTCCCACCAAGGCTGGGGCAGCCCACAACCAATGAGAGCACAAGGGGTCAGCCCCCTCCTCCCTGCTCTGTCTTGAGGCTTATACTACAGAACTATATTGTCTGACATGGTAGACATTAGCCATGTAAAACTCTTCAAATTTAAATTTTTTTAAAAGATTTTATTTATTTATTTATTTGACAGAGAGAGACACAGCTAGAGAGGGAACATAAGCAGGAGGAGTGGGAGAGGGAGAATCAGGCTTCCCACGGAGCAGGGAGCCCAATGCGGGGCTCGATCCCAGGACCCTGGGATCATGACCCAAGTCGAAGGCAGACGCTTAACAACTGAGCCACCCAGGTGCCCCGTCAAATTTAAATTAAATTTAAAAATAAGTTTGTCAGTTATGCTAGCCATATTTTGTATACTCAATGGTCATATGTAGCTAGTGGTAATTATACTGGACAATGCCAATGACATAGAACACTTCCAACACTGTAGTAACTTCTCTTGGACAGCACAGCTCCAGAGTCTACCCACTATGGCTCAGGCTAAGGTTAGATTTCACCTAGGTGAAGTCCATGCTCAGCAATTTCCCCTTCCCTATCCTGCTTCCCTATCTTGCCTCCCTGCCTCCTATCCATCTATCTATCTATCTATCATTTATTTTTCTGAAGAGTACTCCTTCAATAAATCATGTGTACCCAAGTCCCCGTGTCAAGCTCTGCTTCTAAGGAATTCTGTCCAAGACACCATCTATATTGATTTCAACTTTAGGCTCATTGTAAATCAACTAAACATTTATATATGGAAGGCTTAGATTTCCTTACCCTAAAAGATATTCATCCATGCTTGTTTTCTAAATCATAAGCTCAGAGAGTCCAAGGGCCAGGTTTTCATAAAAGGAAAAGGACTGTGGGAACAAAATGAAATAGTCTTAAATCCCCCAAGATTGTGACTGAGGAATGTGAGTCTTTGCAGGAGGCAGGCAATGCCCAGATTGGGGGTGGGGTGGAGCACTAGCCGAAGGGTTCTGGTAGAGCTGAATAGGAAGTGCCATGGGTGTGAAAGGAGAATACCTGTACCTGACTGAAGGTAGAAGACAAGCCATAGTCTCAAGTCAACTTCCTCATCCTTAACAAGAACTAAATGTTAACATAGAGAAAATCAGTTCATCCCCTCCCTGTTATTTACGGAGAGCTTGCTCTATATCACATGTCATGCACCTTTGCCTCCACTTTCTTTAAGTCTTCCCTTTGAGTCTTCATAGGAGTAGTTTCCTCTTCCTGAATATTTCAGCACTGCGCTATATAATAGAAGTACAATACAAGCCATATATGTAATTTAAATTTTTCTGGTAGTCACATTAAAAAAAAAACAGGTGAATTTAATTTTAATAATCGATTTTATTTAGCCCAATATATGCAAAATATTGTCATTTTAACATGCAATCAATATAAAAACTTATTAATGAGACATGTTCCATTCCTTTTTTTCCATATTAATCCTTCAAGATCCAGTGTGTAGTTTATACTTATAATACATCTCATTTTGGACTGGCCATATTTCCATTGCCTTTAGATTTTGTGTATATGCTATTATCTATACAAAATTAAAGCTAAATTATTGCTTTTTAAGTGAGGTTAAGGACAAAATAATTTAGAACAAAAGTTTCCAAACAACCGAACACAATTGTCTGCCTTGCAGGTCAGTTGTAAGGATTAAATAAGATTATTCATGTTGATGCCCTGCACGGTCTGACACTTAGTTGGTATGAAATAAATCATAGATAGTCTTGAATTGAAATTACAGCTACCTTTAAGCCACTCTTAAGGTTTAAGAGACAATTTTAATAACTAATTGGTGTAAAATCTGTGATTTCTAACTGCAAAGATACTTTTCTTTGGAAGGAGCATGATGGTAGGGAATGGGGAGCTGGTGGGAAGAGAAGGCTGGGCTAGAACTCTTTTGTCACAAGCCCAGCATTCAGCCTGGGGATTTTTTTCAAAACAGTATATTACATCTGTATGATAAAGGCTACGTTTGTTAGTGGGAAGAAGGAAAAAATAGGTAAAGCAAGCTGGGTTAAACAAGCAAGAGGAACAGTATATAACCACCAATTATCTGGACAAAGAAATGAAATGAAAGGAGAAATGACATCTGGATAGGACATTAATGAAATCTCCTCCTACAGAAAGAGTAATTGAGAGGCCCTTAATTCTATTTGCAACACAGTGAACAACACTTGGCTTGTTGAAAATATCCCCACTGGGGTCCTCCCTTATCCATGTTACAATGACTGGAGGTGTAGAGTACTTCACTCCTGTAGAGTGTGGTTCTTTCTGCCTGTAGACTGGACCATAGGGGCATGGAAATAAATACATTTTTCAAAAGATGTGGTCTGAGATCACATGAAATGCAAAGTGTTCAAAAATTGGGAATGATAGGGGCACCTGGGTGGGTCAGTCGGCTAAGCATCTGATCTCAGCTCAGGTCTTAATCTCATGGGTGTGAGTTCAAGCACTGTGTTGGGCTCCATCCCAACACAGTGCTGGAATTGGTACATCCATCTCCTGTCCACTGACAATGACACTCCTGGCTCTCAGGCCTTCAAGTTGGGACTGGAGGCTTTCATGGGCCTCCAGCTTGCCAACTGCAAATCACAGGACTTCTCATTCCCCATAATCATGTAAGCCCGTACCTCATTCTAAATCTCTTTCTATATATCTTTATTATTTCCTATTGTTTCTGTTCCTCTGGAGAACCCATACTAATACAGACTTCAACATACCTTAAGTCTGAGAAAGAATTGGAAGCTGGCAGGCATGGACAGAAGAACCACATTAGGCATCACGCCATGGATTTCATTTACTGAGAGTTAGGGGTTTGGAGGAGAGTGAAGGCAGCTAGATATGAGCTTCTCTTTCCATCTCTGTTTCCAGCCAAGGAAACCAGCTGCAGTTCCAGAGAACACAAAGAGAAGCACTCCAAAACATGTTGCAAAATGCCTAGTTCCTGAGCCAGATGCAAGCAGCCTGTGCTATATACTAGAGCTAAAAAAAGAAGAAAGTTGAGGGAAAGGGTGACTTGGTACTTATTTTTCTCCAGTCCCTGGGGCACAATGAAACAGACCCTTTCAGCTCAAGACTTTTGCTGCCAGGATTTTAGCAGTGTTTGTCAGACTGCGCTAACCAACCATGCATTCATTATTCCTCAGGAATCCCAGTTCTGGAAGCATTTTCCCCAACCCATTCAGACCACCAACATCCAAATCTCCCTAAGGGGATGTCATTTTATTTTATTTAGTTAGAGTTGAATGTCCTGGTTGTAACCCTACAGATGCATTGCTTAGAAATTAGTCATTCAGAGTTGTATAAAGGGCCAAACAGTACCATCCAAACACATTCTAAAGCAAAAGCCACATCTGCTGGGTCTTAACACAAAGAATATTCTGTCCCTTTATGCTTAGGGTTCCCTTCTTAGCATCCATATACGTGCTTTTAAATGCTCTGTCAGACAAGCCCTGGATGCTGCTCGTGCTCTCATTTGTATGAGGGAGTGGAGAGAAAAGGGTAAGGATTGGGGCATAAAAGAGGAGATGTGAAAATGAGTAGATCATCATGGGCATAGCTTGATTGCACACCGTGACCAAAGGGAGGGTGAATCCCGAAATCAGAGTAATCACAATAATTGCTCCTTACATTTACTGAGCATTTAATAAATGCTCTACAAGTTTTATCTTATATAAGCCTCATAACAACTCTAAGAGGTGGAAACTATTATTGTCCTCATTTTAAGGGTGAGAATCCTGCGATTTAAGGGATTAGGGGATTTACCTAAAGTCATACAACCAGTTTAGTAGCAGCACCAGGACTGATATCCAGGCAATCTGGCTTTGAGCCAGACCCTCACTATTTTTTTTTATTTTATTATGTAATACTTGATGCATAAAATGTATAAATAAGGCATATATGTTATAATGTGTAATAATAACATAAGCCACCATGCCACTTTGAAGCTCCATCACTACCAATGTCTTTGAAGTGACCTGTTCACTTCTACTCATTCCTTCTCCAGCCTAACCCCCACAGAAATCACCATTATGTGGTTATCACCCTCTAGGTGTGTAAAATAGCCTTTACCACAAAGGTAAATGTCCTTAAAGCTATAGTTTTAGTGTGGTTTTCGAGCTTTTAAAAAGTAGCATCGTATTATACACAACCACTTGTGACTTACCTTTTTTATTTTATTTTTTATTTAAATTCTAATTAGCCAACATATAGTACATCATTAATTTCAGATGTAGAGTTCAGTAATTCATCAGTTGCATATAACACTCAGTGCTCATCAGGGAAGGGAGGGAAAATGAAATGGGAAGAACTTAGAGCTGGACTTAACCTTTTTTTTTAAATTCAGCATTGTGTTTCTAAATTTCATCCCTATTGTGTCAGTTGACTGTGCTGTCAACATTTTCACTGCTGGGCTCCATTTGTATAAATAGACCACAATTTATCTATGCGTTCTCCCATTGAGGGGCGTTTGGGTTGTCCCCAGTTTCTGCTGTTTCAGACAATGCTGTTATGGACATTTTTGAACTCGTCATCAAGTCCATATGTGCAAGAATTTCTCTAGGGTATTACAGGGTCAAATTATTTTCCAAAGTGCACCAATTTATACTCTTGAGCTATGTGTAGGAGTCCTTGTTCCACATTCTCACCAACATGAGGTATTGTCAGGCTTCTTAGTGTTTGCTGAGATAGTGGGTGTGTAAAATGGCATCTCATTTGATGTCAACTTGTATTTGAATATTATATTATTATATTATATGTTATTATTATTCTTAATCATATCCAGATAATGTTTGTTCACATTTACCTCAGTTTGGCCTTTATGTTTACCAGGTATTTTTGCTCTTCATTCCTCCTTATATTTCTGACCTTCCTACTGGGATAATTTTTCTTCTTCCTGAATGATATCTTTTAGAAGTTCATTTAGTAAGAGCCATTGATTATAAATTCTCTCATTCTTTGCTACTCTGAAGATATCTTTATTTAACCTTTGTTCTTTTTTAAAAAAGATTTTATTTATTTATTTGACAGAGAGAGAGAGAGAGAGACGGAACACAAGTAGGAGGAGTGCAAGAGGAAGAAGCAGGCTTCCCGCTGAGCAGGGAGCCCGATATGGGGTTCAATGCGGGGCTCGGGGCTCTCTGCGGGGCTCGATGCGGGGCTTGATCCCAGGACCCTGGGATCATGACCTGAGCTGAAGGCTTAATGACTGAGCCACCCAGGCGCCCCTATTTAGCCCTTGTTCTTAAAAAAATACCTTTCCTGGAGTACAATCTTATTTGGATATTATGTTAATGAGCTGGAAGATATATTCTTGTCTGTTTTCCCTTGCTGTTATTGAGAAGTCTACTGTCACCCCATTTGCCTTTCCTTTGTAGGTGATCCTTTTTCTCTATTTTTAAGATCTTTGGTATTTTGTGGAATCATACAAAAAATGTGTCTAGGTGTAGAATTTTTTTTATTCTGTTTTATATGTGTTGGTCTTCCTGTAGCTGTGGATTCATGCCTTTCATCATATTTCATCGCTTCAAATACTGTCTCTCTTCTCTTGCTCCTTCTGTTTTCCATAGTGTTTAACTTATATGTCATCCTTCTCATCTCCCCATGTCTCTGTGCATTATTACAGATAATTTCCTCATTTCTTTTCTATAGTTTGTCAGTTCTTTTCTTGGCCATTTCTAATCTGCTCTTTAACCCACCTATTTGTTATTCATATCAAGATTATAATTTTTCATTTCCGAAATGGATTCCATTTTTGATTTCTAAGTCATTGTTGATAGTCTATTCTATGCACATTTTTAAAGTGAATTTTTTTATCTTTAAATTATCTTTAAACTTTCTTTAAAGTTTTCACTATCTGATCATTACAATATCTGAGTTCTTGGAGGAGCACTGTATCTGTTTTTTTTTTCTTCTGTCTCTAACTCTTGATTAGTTTCCTATAACTGCTATAACAAATTATCACAAAATTGAAATTGGTGATTTAAAACAACACAAGTTCATTCTATGACAGTTCTGAAAGCCAGAAGTCCAAAATCATTTGGTTAAAGCCAACATGATGGAAGGGCTGCTTTTTCCAGATGTTGTAGGGCAGAATCGATTTCCTTCCCTTTTCCAGCTTCTCAAGGCCACCCTCATTCCTTGGCTTGGGACCCCTTCCTTGCATCACTCTGGCCTCTTGCTTCCATCATGACATGCCCTACTTCTGTAGTCTCCTTCTTCTTTCCTCTTATAAGGATACTTGTGATTGCATCTAAGGTCCACTTGGGTTATCCAGGATAATTTCCCCATCTCAGCATCCTTAATCACAGCTGCAGAGTCCCTTTTTTCATGCAAGGTGATGTTCACAGGAGCCAGGGATTGGAACTGGGATATTGTGGGGGCTCATTATTCAGACTACCATACACTCATTGTGTCAGAGACTGCTAGTTGCCAATAAGTATTCATTCTACCATCCCTTCCTAGGAATGAAAATACAAATTTTTAGCCAGACTTATTGTCAGCCAGTTAAAACTTCCTAGTTTTTTGTTTTTTTGGTTTTTTCTTGTTTTGACATCCAGATGTGGTCACTGGAATTAAAATTTTGCCAGTAAATTATAAGTGGAGGAACTATGTGTAACATCCAGAATCTGATTTTGAAGAGAATAGTCGTGCTTTTCTTGTCCTTCCTTCCATAATGGTCTGGAATGTGGATATCTGGAGCTCTAGCAGCCACCTCGGATCACAAGAGCAATGATCATAACCAAGATCTCAGAGGATTCATGAACCATAAGAAAACAGGTCCCTGATGAATTTGTGATAAACCTGCCCTGGATACCTACTTCTTGGTTTGTTTTACATGAAAACAGATAAATACATATTTAAGGCACCATTATTTGGTGGGTTTTTTGTTTTTGTTTATGTTCTTGTTTTTTGCCATGTGAGGTTAAATTTAGTCCTTAGTGATATAATCATTATGTCTTGTTTCCTCGTGTGTTTGGTAATTTTTTATTTTGATCTTTTATTTGGTTTTACATAATCTGTGGAAATCCTGAAAACCTGAATTAATGACACCCTCCTCCAAAATGGAATTTGCATTGACTTATTCCTGGAGTCATGTATACCACCAACAGGAGACAGCTTTAACCTTCTTAATGAGGGAATAGGCTCCAGCAGCAGGCTGAGTTTAGCTTCCAGTCCCTGCATTTGTGGCTGGCATTGTCATTTATCTTCCAAATTTGCAGTTTTCTTTCCTTTCTCAATCCTGGTTTTAGCTTACTTTGCATGTTTGTATGTTATTCTTTTGTTTTATTATCATTGGAAAGTTCCCTCTGTTTCTGGTGAGAGCTCAATGTATTAAAAATCATGTCATCACCTGGATGCAATGCCACTGTAGTAGAGTATTACCTCGGGGTATCTTGTACACCTTCCTGCCAGGAACCACCCCAGTTTCATCATTAAGATGTACCACAAAGGCCTTACATCTGATTGGCCCACCCAATATTTTGGTGCAAATTTGGTACAAGCAGAACTCTTCTGGAAACCAGACTGGTAGCACTTTCTCCAACCATGGACTCCACTCATTTATTTGTTCTCAGGGGTTCATCACAGTTATTAACTATGATTCTCTGTTTTAGAGTTTCTGGCAGCTCTTTCAAATTACACAGTCTCCTTCATCTGTCCACAAAGATTTTGATACAGGAATACATATAATAAAACTCTACTAATGGGATATTATACTTATAATATGTATAATATTCTGCAACTTGCTCTTTAATTTAGTAATGCCTCCTATCCATCTCAGTACTTCTAGTCTCCTCATTCTTCTTCCACAGCTGCATAGTATCCCATGGTGCATATAATAGCTTCTTGTACAATTTGACTGTCAGTGGACATTTAGTTTGTTTCCAATTTTGTGATATTAATAGTGCTATGCTATGCTATTGTAAGCACTTATATGCATATTTGTGTGTGCATATATGTGAGAGT